GCAAGTCGATCTAACACTGCTTTTTTCTCTGACCATCTGCTGTTAACCAGAGGTTCTTCACCTGAGGTCAGTGAATATCCTAGCCAGTGGATATAATTTTCTGTTATCCATGTGCATGTATTTTCCTGAAGGGATGACTTATTCTTCTCCTCATTCTTAAAAAGATCTGTTTTCTTAAAGAGACACTGTAATACTAATTGTAAACTCCTGCAAAATGCTGTGAGTTCCTTGAGGACAAGAGCCTGTCCTTATAAATTTTGATATCTTCATGGAACCTCTGTCAATCTTGAGTGAATGAATGGCTAATGGTGCCACATTAGATGGGCAACAGAGATGATTGTGTTAGTCTGTTCTCACACCGCTATGAAGAAACACCCAAGACTGGATAATTTATGAAGGAAAGAGGTTTAATTGACTCAGTTCCGCATTGCCTGGGGAGGCCTCAGAAAACTTACAATCATGGTGGAAGGCAAAGGAGAAGCAGGCACCTTCTTCAAAGGGCAACAGGACAGGGAAAGTGCAAGCAGGAGAAATCACAGGGCCTTATAAAACCATCAGATTTTGTGAAACTCACTATTACCAGAAGAGCATGGGGGAACCTGCCCTCATGATCCAATTACCTCCACCCAGTCCCACTCTTGACAGGATTGGAGATTACGGGGAATACAAATCAAGATGAGATTTTGGGTGGGTACATAGCCAAACCATATCAATGATAAAATACTGATTTTACCTCCATAGCCTGTTGTTTAACTTAAAAAATATAGATACCTAGGAAACATTTTCTCATAATGCCCTCTGTTAGGATAACTTGTTGCTTAAAATTAGTGCCTCACACACTCTTATTTCCTTAATCATTTTGCAGAGTGGGGATTAGTATCTTTATTTCATTAATGAGGATGCTAGGGCTGAGATAAGTCATGTGACTTGCTGAGCATCAAACAGCATGATCGCACGCTTGGGACTTAAGTCCAAGTCTTTGTTCCCCAAGGCTTGTGTCTTGTCCCACTTATCCCAAAACTGGAAAGCAGGTTAGTTTAGTAGGTAAAGCCCTATAAAGATGGTGTGGGCTCTAATCCTGGCTCTAGCACTTCCTGTATGACATTGGACAAGTTCCTAACCTCTGTAAGCCTGCATTTCCATTTATAAAATAGAGACAATAAGTGTCTCTACTTATAAGGTGATTGCAAAGTTTAAATAAGATAGTTGTTACAAGTATTCAATAAATGTTATGTATTATTATTATCTCATGGTACATTCATTTGTAAACAAAAAATGCCTGTGAACATAGTAGATTTTGTCTTGTTTTCTGAAATGCTTATTGGCAATAGGTTGAATTTTGATTTATGTGAATATAATATATTTTTAGCCTAAAATATGATATTCATGTTAAATGCAATGGTATCCAAATAGTTGTGTTATTGACTGACAGATACAACTATCATACAGTAAATTTAATTGCTTGGTCTTATACATTTATTCATTGCATAATGACAGGAATATATTGAACAAATGAGTCATTAGGCAATTTCATTCTTGTGGCAATATCACCGAGTATACTTATACAAACCTAGATTGCATAGTCTACTGCACACCTTATTATATGGTATTATATATGTCCTGGGCTACAAACTTGTACAACATGTTATTGTACTCAATATGGTAGGCAACTGTAACATAATGGTGTTTGTATATCTAAACATAGAAAAGGAACAGTAAAAATACAGTATAACCTACCTTTCCAGTCCTTGAATAAGTGGGATAAGATATAAGACTTGGAGAAGACAGGCCAGGCATGGTGGCTCACACCTCTAATCCCAGCACTTTGGGAGGCCAAGGCGGGTGGATCGCTTGAGGTCAGGAGCTTGAGACCAGCCTGGCCAACATGAAGAAACCCTGTCTGTACTAAAAATACAAAAATTAGCTGGGCATGTTGGCACACAGCTATAATCCCAGATACTCAGGAGGCTGAGGCAGGAGAATCTCTTGAACCCAGGAGGTGTAAGTTGCCATGAGCCACGGTTGTGCCATTGCACTCCAGCCTGGGCAACAAGAGTGAAACTCATCTGAAAAAAAAAAAAGACTTGGAAAAGATAAAATATGACGTGGCTGTCTGTAAAGGACACTTACCATGAATGAGCTTGCATAGGTAGAAGTTCTCTGGGTAAATCAGTGAGTGGCCAGTGAATGCGAAGCCTAGGACATTACTGAGTGTTACAGTAGAATTTTTAAACACTGTACACTCTGGCTGTACTAAATTTATTAAAAATATTTTTCTTCTTTCTTCAGTAGTAAATTAACATTCACTTACTGTAACTTTTTTACTTTTTAAACTTTTAAATGTTTAAAAAACTTTTTGAGTGTTTTGTATTGCCTCCGGGTCCAGCTCCAGTAGTGTACAGCAATGTCCTAGGCATCACCTTCACTTACCTATCACTTACTCACTTACCCAAGGAACTTCAACCCATGCAAGCTGCATTCAGTAAGTGTGTATAAGTGTGTAACAACGCTTAGCGTAAAGCACAGACACATTGTAAGGCTATACAAAAGCATTTTCTTTATATCCTTATTCTATAAGCTTTTTTCCAATTTTCTACTTTATATTTTTATATTTTTACTTTTTAAACTTTTTAAAAGCTAAGACACAGATACATACATTTGCCCAGGCCTACACGTGATCAGGATAATCAGTATCACTGCCTTCCACCTCTGTATCTTATCCCACTAGATGGTCTTCAGAGGCAATGACACCCAGGGAGCTGTCATATCCTATGATAACAATGCCTTCTTCTGGAATACCTCCTGAAGGCCCAGCCTGAGGCTGTTAATAGTTAACTTTTTTCTTCTTAATGATAAGAAGTATGGTATAGTAAATACGTAAACCAGTAACACAGTCATTTATTATCAGGTATAGTGTATTGTATGTAATCGTGCTATATATATATATTTTTAGACGAAGTTTTGATCTTGTTACTCAGGTTGGAGTGCAATGGCGCGATCTCGGCTCACCGCAACCTCCACCTCCTGGGTTCAGGCAATTCTCCTGCCTCAGCCTCCTCAGTAGCTGGGATTACACGCATGCACCACCATGCCCAGCTAATTTTTTGTATTTTTTAGTAGTAGAGACGGGGCTTCACCATGTAGACCAGGATGGTCTCGATCTCTCGACCTCGTGATCCACCCACCTCGGCCTCCCAAAGTGCTGGGATTACAGGTGTGAGCCACCCACGCCCGGCCCGTACTATGCTTTTGTACAACTTGCAGTGCAGTAGGTTTGTTTAAACTATCGCATGCTTCACCACAGGTAAAGCCTCTGCCTTTTCCTGGAGTTCTCTGGAGTACAAAAGGAAGTAAGAATGCCAAAGCAGTGGCAGCCTCCCAGAGGTGGCTGAAATCAGCAGACTGGCAGGGCTGCTGTGCTCTTGGCACCTGGCTTTATCCCAATGCTGCATGAATGACAGAGCCTGCCCTGCAGCAGTGCACGCCACCTCCCGTTAGCAATCATCCCATTAGCAGTGGAGGTGGTGAGAGTCCGTATTTACAAAGAGGCTGAGACTTACCTTCCTAAACAAGCAATAACTATTTATTTACTTGAATACAAATGCAGGAAGGTGAAGGGGTGAGGGCAGAGGACTTTGGAACTTTTCAGACAAAAAAAAAAAAAAAAAAAAAAAAAAAAAAAAAAACCTGATGCTTCTAACATTAAAATGTGAAGGACTTACAAAGTCAGTAGGGAGTTCTCTGAAATTGGAGTTACAAATAAATGTTTCAGGACTGATTAGGATCTTCTGATTCGTAAGCCTCTTGGAATCACTCTGCTCTTCAGTTAAATGTGTATGTACTCTGTTAATTGAGTAATGTAGACTATTAATGCTCGCCCATAATTAAAATATGATTTTCCAAATGTATTTGCTCAATATTACTTTACATGTTGTTTTAGTAATGTTTTTAAATGATCAAGAACAAGTAAGTTACTTAATTGTGTGAATAAACAGTTGAGCTTTCCAAATGTCTGCAGTGACAAAATTGGAGAATACAAAGGAAATTGGAAATCCTGTCCCTAGTGTGTTTAAGTCAGGCTGCTTGTGGGAAGACAGGGCTTCTGAAATCCTGGCATGCCAAGAAGCAGAGATATTATTCAGAGATTCTGAGCACTGATGGTGCTTTTTTTCTTGAAAAGAAAATGTGGCCTTAATGCTCTTCAATTGGTTCAAGAACCTGATGAGCCTGATAATTAGAAGTATTAATTTAAATAGAAATGCCAGTTTGTTTGGTGTTTGCTGAAATGGTAACATAAGCCTGAATATAAATGCACTGTGTTGTAGCAAGAATTCAGCTTCATTCTCAACTTTGGTAGGGGGCTCCTCCCTGCCCCAAGATTGTCACTGGGAGAGCAGCAGTGTCAGAGGAACAATATGGGAGGAATAATCACACAAGGATGTGCTGTGTCTGCTCCTTCTCTGGGTTACCACTTCCTGTGGGCTCTGCCACCTGGAATGAATAAACTGGGATTTGAGGAAGGTATATGTCTGATCTCTGCTCACCAGTTGGTAACCCAGCTGCAATATGCATTTATTATATAAATGGGTAAAGTGACATTTTGAAATGCTTAGCTGTGCTAGTTCATCTTAAGCCCTGTAAATACCTTTTGGTTTTCATTGTAGTTGTCCTAGACCTACGTAGTTTGGTGGAAACTGGAGTAAGTCCATTCAAAGTCATGATCAAACTATATTTGGTGAGGCTGTGAAAAACTGATAAACTAGCTTCACTAAACATGACCTGTAATTACTTGTTATATAAGTAACTATATATACTCTTAACCCCGTGAAGGTAGGGACCATGGCTATCATGTTCCTGGGAGAATCCTCAGAACTTAGCAGTGTTATTTGTTCATTTGACTATTAATGGAGTTTTTAAAATAGCACCTTCCAACATATCCTTTCATGAGACTTTTGTTACAGAGATAACTAATAATTAATATGTAAATGTTTATTTTTTAGGCTTGTAACTATTACAATATGGCTTTCCTTGGACTCTTCTCTCTGCTGTTGCTGCAAAGTATGGCTGTAGGGGCCACTCTCCCTGATGAGGCCATTGCTGACTTGTCAGTGAATATGTATAATCGTCTTAGAGCCACTGGTGAAGATGAAAATATTCTCTTCTCTCCATTGAGTATTGCTCTTGCAATGGGAATGATGGAACTTGGGGCCCAAGGGTCTACCCAGAAAGAAATCCGGCACTCAATGGGCTATGACAGCCTGAAAAATGGTAAGTGTGATCAGGTTTGATGTCTCAAGACTTTTGAATGTGACTTTGACTCAGTTATGTTGTCTTTTTATTCCAGACGCAGCAATATTTACACAGGGTAAAAGATAATCTCATGGAAATGGTATGGCAAGAAGGATCAGGAAACCCAAGAAATGTGTTAATTCCTGGCTCTCTTTCTGGCCAAGTGAATCTAAGGAAATTACCTCTTTTAAAAAGTATTGTGATTTACATCAATTCATTGTAATTTTAAAAAGCAAACATTATTTTGGAGTTTTTAGTCTAGAGGGAAAGGCACATATTTATCACATAAAAAATGAAAAATTACAAATATGATGAGTGCTACAAAGAATGACAGCATGGTTCGCTAAGAATATCAGAAAGTTTTGCTTAAAATCAACTGTATCTCCCTTGTTTAAATAGCATCCAATAATTTTTTTGAGGTGCCATCATATTATAGCAATTCTGTGTATTGGGGGAAATTTCTAGCCAAATGGTATTTTGTAATCACTTTGACATAATGTTTGATTTCTATTTAAATGCTTTAATATACATGTGAATTCACTCATTAAAAAATTAAAAATTAAAATAATTTCTAATGGCTTTTCTAGTGTTAAAATTAAAAGGTCTACTGAGTAAAAAGGATGATCTTGATTTTTTAACTAGATCCGTTTTTCTAATAAGGTAAAAGAAGTCTAATCAAAATAACCTACTAATTTGAAATAAAGCAATTGAAACAATCTCTATAGATTGTACCAAAATAACAACAAAATAAAAAATAATATCAGTCCATGATATTAACTTGCAAAAAGTTAATTTGAACATCTAGAAATAGTATAAGTATTGGACCATATCAGTGTGGGGGGAAAGCCTGGCACTTTTCCCCTGGGTGCCTGTTCGGTTAACCTCCCTTGCTGTATTTTAATGCTTCTCCACTTCCCTTGACCTTTTACCAGTTCGTTCTGCAAATATACTTGTCCTTTCTCATCTTGCAGGTGAAGAATTTTCTGTCTTAAAGGAGTTTTCTAACATGGTAATTGCTAAAGAGAGCCAGTATGTGATGAAAATTGCCAATTCCCTCTTTGTGCAAAATGGATTTCATGTCAATGAGGAGTTTTTGCAAATGTTGAAAAAATATTTTAATGCAGAAGTAAATCATGTGGACTTCAGTCAAAATGTAGCTGTGGCCAACCACATCAATAAGTGGGTGGAGAATAACACAAATAGTACGTCACCTGGTTCCTTTCTTCCTCTAATAGCTTGGTTTTAACTGTCTTTAACTTCTGAAAGTATTTGCCCCCTTGCTTCTTTTGCATTTTGAATGTTAGAGAGCATTTGCTTGCGTATCTAATAATTATTTTATATAGATTATGGTCTATTTGAGAAACATTGTTATGAATGAATGTTTGAGAACAAAGTTAAATCTTTTGGCATGTATAGAATTGGGGAGTGATAATCTGAAGTCTGTACTCTCTGACTGATGGGTTTCCTCTGTAATCCTAACCACTTTATGGAGTTTTGCTTGTCCTATTTAATAAATTAGTTACTGGATAGAATGCCAGTTGGCTCTTAGCATTGTGATTAAAATAGAGTAAGAAAGAGTTAAAAATCAGAGTTTATAGATGTTTGTTGGCTTTTGAATCAAAGACCTTCATTGGTAATGTAAAAAAAAAAGTATATGATTGATTTTCAAAAGAGCGCTTATTTCGAGCCTCCCAAAATGGAGAGGAATTAGAGTGAGATGCATTCATTCTAAATTGTATTGCTATTTTATTTTTCTAAAATGTATTTAGTGTTCCCAAATGTTTCATATTTTAGCATTTCATTTTCCAATTTTACCAGCAAAATACTGAAATCATAGTATTAAAAACTGAGACTAAATTAAAAGTAAATTTTTAAAGCTGTTCATTAAATGAAGTTTATTTTCAAATCTACCCAAATAATGTTAATCTTGAACTTTACATTGGAACAACAACAAAAGTAACCCTGAGCAGATACTCAATATCCCGTAATCTCCAAGATGCAGGCACCTTTTATCTTAAGAAGTGCTATGATTAATCAAATGAGAGAATACAGAGAAAATTTCATCTTATGTTTTTATCTGTGAGATTAAAATGTATGATAAAAGAAACTTAAATTTAGGCTTTTAATATTCAAAGAATAAATTAAGGGTGATAATCCATATAAAGTAGATTCCATTATTAAAACCTATTTGTTTTCAGACTCCTTTAGACACTTGTAGCAAACAGCAAAGATCCAATATCTTTTCAAATAGATTTGGAAAGGAATATTTCAGATGATAAACACCAATGCATGATGTAAACTGGCTTTCATGTATCTGTTTTCACCTACCCAAAAGCAGATGATACATTGGCAGAATGATGTCCAGTATACACAGGGAAGAATTTGAAATCAATAACATTTAATCGTGTACATTGCTCAAGAATAAATTTAGGGCTGGGCATGGTAGCTCGACGCCTGTAATCCCAGCACTCTGGGAGGCTAAGGTGGGCGGGATCACTTGAGGCTGGGAGTTCCTGACCAGGCTGCCTGACATGGTGAGACATGGTCTCTTCTGAAAATACAAAAATTAGCTGAATGTGGTAGTGCACACCTGTAATCACAGCTATTCAGGAGGCTGAGGCATGAAAATCACTTGAACCCAGGAGACAGAGTTTGCAGTGAGCAGAGAATGTACCACTGCACTCCAGCCTGGATGGCGAGACTGTTTCTCAAAAAAAAAAAAAAAAAAAAAAAAAAAAAAAAACACGAATAAATTTAGAAGCATTTATTGAGTGCTTACTCTGTGTTAAGAGTTTTACATGCATCATTGCAACTAGAAAGAGATTAAGCTTACATTGTGTGTGGTTCCGTAGTTTGTGTATCAAGATGCTACTAGTATTATTTCAGGTAATATGGGTTTTTTGAATGCCCTTAATTGCTAAATATGTGTGTGTGTGTGTGTGTGTGTGTGTGTGTGTGTGTGTGTGTAACTCTTTTCCCTTTGAAAGTAAGATACTTTTTATTTTCATTGTAAATTTGGTGTACAGTTTCTCTAGACCACTCTATCAGATGGTGGTTTGAAAATCTTGTGGTTAACTTTCATCTTCTGGTTTAACGTGAATTTTTATCTGTTCATTTTTTTCCAAAATAGATCTGTTGAAAGATTTGGTATCCCCAAGGGATTTTGATGCTGCCACTCATCTGGCCCTCATCAATGCTGTCTATTTCAAGGGGAACTGGAAGTCACAGTTTAGGCCTGAAAATACTAGAACCTTTTCTTTCACTAAAGATGATGAAAGTGAAGTCCAAATTCCGATGATGTATCAACAAGGAGAATTTTATTATGGTAAGACATTTTTTCTTTTATTTTTCTCTTCTTGTAGTATATCAACACATTTCCAAGAAAAACATAAAGTAATTGTTCATTACTCAAACTCCTTGTCAATATAATTTGGGCTACAATTCAGTTTCCTTGGCTCCATTTTAAAAACCCTCTAATTAGCTTCCGAATTAATATTATATCATTGATGGGTTCCAATGTATTTTTAAATTTGTAAGTTGATCACACCTGTAGAGTTGCTTTATTCATCTGAAAATACCTGACAGTGTGAGGATGTTCTCATTCACTCCAAAAAGTCATTTGCTTTAGGATGGGTCTTCGTGAACCATATGCTCCACCAAGCACTTGATTTGGGCTCTGTACCACTTTTAAAATTACATTCTTCTCATACAAGAATTTTAAAAAAATAATTTTAGACTTGTGTATGTATGGCCAAACATAATTGTTTATAGTTTATTTTATTGAAAGCCTATAATTTTTAGTATAATTTGATATCCTTAGCATAATTTTCTAAGATGTTTTATTGGACTCTTCAGAAGTTTAGGGTATTAGTCCTTCTTATCCACTACCTTGACTTGTAATAATTTGTTAGTCATAATCAGAAAGGTAATTTTTAGCCAAGTATATGTTATAACTAGTAGTTTTATTCTGTTTAAAAGCATATTACAGGACAGGTGCGATGGCTCATGCCTGTAATCCCAGTACTTTGGAGATGGAGGCAGGAGTATTGCTTGAAGGCAGGATTGAGTCTAGCTTGGGCAACACAACAAGACCCTGTCACTACAAAAAATTACATATGTTTTTAATTAACTAGGCATGATGGTACACACCTATAGTCCTAGCTACCCGGGAGGCTGAAGGAGGAAGATTGTTTGAGCCCATGAGTTTGAGGCTGTAATGAGCTATGATCCTGCTACTGCACTCCGACCTAGGTGGCAGAGCAAGATTCTGTCTCTACAACTATATATATAGGTTTTATATGTAGATAAAACTATATATACTATACATATAAATAGTTCATTTTGGCAATTTATACACATGTTTGTTAATTTGGCTAATTTGGCTAAATTCATAGAAAACAAAGCCAATTACCTCATTTACCTAATTACCTAACTTGTATATATCAATTTTCACAAATATAATAGCTAAATATTATACAATCTTTGATTTCATTTTAACTCTGCAAACTTTGCTTTAAAACTTGTAGTTTTTATGATAATAAAGGGCCAGGTATTAAATGGTCAAATTTTCCCTTCTTAAAAATCAGGTGAATATTGATCAATGTGCTTTACATCCAACTTAGAGCCAGGGTTTTATTTTTCTAACCAGGACTTTTCATTGTTTCTAATGCTACACTTTAGCTGTAGTGAATAATCTCATTTAAAAACAAAAAGCAAGTTTTGAATGCATGTTATTACAGATGTGAAATAATTCTGGGGATTCTAAAATAAAATATACGGGGCTATGAATTCATTTGAATTTTAGGACCTATGTTCAAATAAACCTGCTTTTTATCAGATGCCTTAATTTCTTTATATTTTATATACTATTTGGTAAGAAACATGTAACAGATTTAAACCTTTTTATTTTTATTTTCTCATTTTTTTAATATTTTATTTCAATAGTTTTGGGGGAACATGCCGTTTTCAGTTACTTGGAAAAATTCTTTAGTGGTGATTTCTGAGATTTTGGTGCACGTGTACCTGAGCAGTGTATGCTCTACCAAATAATGTGGTCTTTGATCCCTCACTCCCCAGCTTTTTTTTTAAAGCTTTGAAATGAGTCTTTTACAGCCTTTCTTTCCTTTTTAGGGGAATTTAGTGATGGCTCCAATGAAGCTGGTGGTATCTACCAAGTCCTAGAAATACCATATGAAGGAGATGAAATAAGCATGATGCTGGTGCTGTCCAGACAGGAAGTTCCTCTTGCTACTCTGGAGCCATTAGTCAAAGCACAACTGATTGAAGAATGGGCAAACTCTGTGAAGAAGCAAAAAGTAGAAGTGTACTTGCCCAGGTGAGCGGCTCCTGTGTTACCCCTTCCACAGCATGGACAATGGGCTATCAATGAAAATCTGACCCAGACAACTCTTGGAACTGCTTTCATTGTAATTCTTGTACTACTCTCCTCTTGTTCTTGTTCTTCTTCTCTTCCTTCTCCTTCCCTTTCTCCTTTTTCTTTGATTTTCCCTTTTTAGTATTCTTTCAGATTCATTTCTTTCATACTCATGTGGTCCTTCCTATAGACACATGCTCACTTATTGGTTCATTCAGTGCTATTCATCAAGACCTAGTCTCAGATATAATTCAATGTTCTTGTCTTTGTCTTAGAAAATTTATCTTTTTACTCTGAATATCATTTGCATTGACAGTCTTCTGTATTTCATTAATACTTAATCATTACGGATGATTTAATCCTTAAGGATGATTATAACTGAGGAGTAAACCATCTCTGACATAGCTAGAACTGCAAACAAGTCACTATGCTAGGTGCTGAGATGCAACCATAAATTAGCAGGAAGATGCAACTCTGCTCAAAATTCTCCCTGTGGTTGAAAGAATAAGATGTACACAATGCCTTTAATGTCCTGAATGCCATCCCCTTCTCAACCCCATTTCTGGTCATTTGCCACATCAAGCATGTTGTAGTGGGTTCTATCCATGTGCTTGTGGTTATGCCATATACATCATGCTATGTTCATGTCTCTGAGTCTCCATTTATGTTCTCGCATTTGCCTAAAATGCCCTCCTCATATTTCTTTCCCAAGGTAGTGTTACTTAGCCTTCAAGGTATACCTCTAGCACCAGTTCTTCTGTGAAGCCTCACATTAACTAACCTGGAGCAAGTGACCCTGACTTTTGCTTCACTTATACACCTTGCTGTTACTACTTGTTACCATCTCATAATAACATTATCTTTTTGTACAACTAGTTTTTTTAAGTTGTTCTAGGGTAGAGCCAGTTTTCTTTCTTATAAAAAGAACATAAGTGGCCAGGCGCGGTGGCTCAAGCTTGTAATCCCAGCACTTTGGGAGGCCGAGGAGGGTGGATCACGAGGTCGAGAGATCGAGACCATCCTGGTCAACATAGTGAAACCCCGTCTCTACTAAAAATACAAAAAATTAGCTGGGCATGGTGGCACGTGCCTGTAATCCCAGCTACTCAGGAGGCTGAGGCAGGAGAATTGCCTGAACCCAGGAGGCGGAGGTTGCGGTGAGCCGAGATCACGCCATTGCACTCCAGCCTGGGTAACAAGAGTGAAACTCTGTCTCAAAAAAAAAAAAAAAGAACATAAGTGTTTGCAAAATGAAACTGAACTGAAAATATGTATTCTATCCCTGAATACCTTAAAACTTAGTAGGAAAGCTAGGCCAGTAAACTGGTAGAACATGTTTATTAACATACTATGTAAATTTTACTCTAGAAAACAAGACATATCAATAAAACCAGATTAAATATATATGTATGTAGGTATTTGGAAGTACAGTTAAAACTCATTCCATATTAAGAAAATTGTTCAAATATGATTAAACTGTGGGCATTAAAGTGGTAAATAAGATATTAGTATTAAAGATGAATTACTAATAACTGATTAACTCATTCATATTTATTCTAATTTTAGGAATTATTTAAGGGTTCTCTTTTATGTAAATATCAATGTTTCTAAAAACTTAGCTGATAGTTTGCTTATGTTGGTGAAGGAGATCTATTTGGAACTGCAGAATTTTTGCCTGTAAAATTGTGTTTTATAATATATTCATAATATGTAATATTGTCATAATTATATAATAGGTCATCTTATATATTCATAATATATAACCATAAATAATATGTAGCCATATAGTTTCTTTTTTAAAACTTTTCAGTTCTAGGTTATATGTGCAGGATGTGCAGGTTTGTTACACAGGTAAACATGTGCCATGGTGGTTTGCTGCACCTATCAACTCATTACCTAAGTATTAAGCCTTGCATCCACTAGCTATTTATCCCAATGTGCTCCCTCCCCTCAACCCCCTGACAGGCCTCAGTGTGTGTTGCTCCCCTCCTTGTGTCCTTGCATTCTCATTGTTCAGCTCCCACTTATAAGTGAGAACATGCAGTGTTTGGTTTTCTGTTCCTGTGTTAGTTTGCTGAGGATAATAGCTCCCAGCTCCATCTATGTCCCTGCACATGACATAATCTCATTCCTTTTTATGGCTGCATAGTATTCCATGGTATATATGTACAATATTTTCTTTATCTGGTGTGTAATTGATGGGCATTTGGGTTGATTCCATGTCTTTGATATTGTGAATATTGCTCCAATGGACATATGTGTACTTGTATCTTTATAATAGAATGATTCTTTGGGTGTATACCCAGTAATGGGATTGCTGGGTCAAATGGTGTTTCTGGTTCTAGGTCTTTGAGAAATCTCCACCCTCTCTTCCACAATGGTTGAACTAATTTACATACCATCAACAGTGTAAAAGGGTTTCTATTTCTTCACAGCCTTGCCAACATCTGCTGTTTCTTGACCTTTTAATAATCACCATTCTGACTGGTGTGAGAGGGTATCTCACTGTGGTTTTGATTTGAATTTCTCTAATGATCAGTGATGTTGAGCTCTTTTTCATGTTTGTTGGTCACATAAATGTCTTATTTTGAGAAGTGTCTGTTCATGTCTTTTGCCTACTTTTTAATGGGATTTTTTTCTTGTAAATCTGTTTAATTTCCTTATAGATTCTGGATATTAGATCTTTATCAGATGGATTTATTAGATTGTAAAATTTTTCTCCCATTCTGTAGGTTGCCTGTTCACTCTGATGATAGTTTCTTTGGCTGTGCAGAAGTTCTGTAATTTAATAAAATCTCATTTGTTAAGTTTTGCTTTTGTTGCAGTTGCTTTTGATGTTTTTGTCATGAAATCTTTTCCTGTGTCCATGTCCTGAATAGTACTTCCTAGATTTTTTTTCTAGGGTTTTTATAGTTTTTAGTTTTACTCTTAAATCTTTAATCCATCTTGAGTTTTTTTAATAAGGTGTAAGTTTCAGTTTTCTGCATATGGCTATATTTAGTCACATATTTTCTTGTCTGCATATAAAAGTCAAGGCAATCACTACCCAAATAGTTGATTTTTTTTCTTTTTGGCTAAAATGCATAACTTTCTATGATAATACATATATGTAGAAATGTTCCATAAGTCTATTCTTAAGGAGAGGTAGTCAATAAATACCTACCAAATAAAGCCAAGAGCTTTTTTTATATATGATAAGTGACATTTATATACTAAATATGTAAACACTGTTCTTAATTCCAAAGAACAATTGACTTTTGAACATTAATAATTAAATTTAAATTACTATGTAAATTGGGTCTAAACTTATAAAACATTCAGTGCATGTTAACCCTCATCTAATGACCTTCCACAATTATTTTAGTATTTTTTCTTTCATTTTATGAAGAGTTTCTCTTGATTAAATGAAAATTTCAGTACAGTGTTAATGCTTCTCTTGTTAAATTCATGAATTAAGTGCAGTGGTTCCAAATGCTTCAATTCTGTGAGGATGCAAAGTTATTTAGGAGTATTTTAACAGAATTCTAAATGAATGCTTACTAAATATTATACATCCTAATTCAACCATATTTCACTAGAAAATGTCGCCTCCAGGTCTTTTCCACTGAGAAATTGAATGTGGCAGCAGAAGAAAATTAAATTTTCATTTTCTAAGAGATACTCTTCAATTATGAAATAGTTTGGCTCTCTTGCTCATATTAATGTCTGTACTAATCTAGGCACAGGAAATTATCATGTATCAATTTTTCCAGGAGTTATATTAATTCTCCCTGTACATGGCTAATGCATAGATAGAGAGGCTAAATAGCAAAATAAGATAACTCTGGACTCCCCTTTTAACAGACTGGGCTGTTTTCAAATACTTATATATTATATTAATCAATGTGAAACTCTCCACCTTCTCCATTTTACAGCATTAGGATCCGCTAAATGTTTGATGACAGTAATGATTTATGTGATCCAATTTTAGCAAAGGTAAACATGTCTTTAGTAGCTATATTCTATGTTTACTCAAGTGTCCGTTTTAATAGTTTACATAGTTTTATCACAGAGAGATATTACTCTGAAAATGCAGCTTGTATTTCTATAATTTGACCACATTCTTGTCCTGCTCGACAGGTACTTTTACTTTCTATTTTGCTAGAATTTATACAGACAGCTTTAAAATGCTGTCCTCGAAAAACCAAATACTGCGTTTTCTAACTCGTAAGTGTGAGCTAAACATTGAATGTTCATGGACATACAGATGGCAACGAGAGACGCTGGAGATGGCTAGTGGAGGGAGAGAGGAAAGCGAGCAAGGGTCAGAAAACTATTGGGTGCTGTTCTCACCATCTGGGTGACAGGGTCATTTGTATCCCAAACTTCAACAATAAGCAATATACCCACATAACAAACCTACACATGTACGCCTTGAATCTATAATAAAAGTTGAAATAATTAAAAATAATAATAAAATTAAATAAATGGCTGTCTTTGAGAGGTAAAGGGAGGTTATTTGCAGGGGAGGGTCATGTAGAAGAAGCAATTGCTTTTGCATTTTAGCAATTTTTTCCCCCTCACAGTAAGTTCTACAGAAATTAGATGCTGAATTGAAATTGTATTTTTATCCAAAATGTAAGAATCATTTCAAGAAAAGATAAGATTGCTATACCCATTACCAAATCCAATGAAATACCACAAGATTTATACATAGTTGTACATCTCTAAGATTTAACTACGGTGGCCAGATCCTTCCATTTATCCATGGTAGCAAAGATAGTTTGTTTCATGTATAAAATATTTATGCAAAATATCCAAAAAGCACTTAAAGATAAAATCTGGTACATAGTAAGCATTATGTAATTATTACCTATTATTAATATTATTGCTATTTGTTTAGTGTAAATTTTAAGTCCTGGTATTTACATTGTGTTACTCTTATAGGTAGCTTTATTTATACCTCTCTCTAAATTGAATTTTTTAAACCTGATTATCTTGAATTTTATCCTCTTCAGTGTGTATGCTTCCTTTTAAGTCTTTACTGATATAGCTTAGATATAAAAAGATTTTTCTAAAGTTAACATCAAATTTTAATACTTGGAAGCAGATGTACCTTGCTCTATGTAGTATCTGTCTACTCTGGCTTTTGTAGTTTCAGACTTGTCATTGTGATCAGAGTGTTGGAAATCAAAGGATGTGAAGTGGTTCTCTATTTTGTAACAGAAACTATCCTGATATTTTGAAATAATTGCCTATTAATAAAGCACTTTAGTTTCATGTTTGTAAAAGAAAACCAATACATAAGTCATGTGATTTTTTTTTTTTTTTTTTTAGATGAATCTCACTCTGTCGCCCAGGCTGGAGTGCAATGCATGATCTTGGCTCACTGCAACCTCCACCTCACAGGTTCAAAAGCCATTCTCCTGCCTCAGCCTCCCAAGTAGCTGGGATTACTGGCATGTGCCCCTACGCCAAGCTTTTTGTATTTTTAGTAGCAATGGGGTTTCGCCATATTGGCCAGGCTAGTCTCAAACTCCTGACCTCAGGTGATCCACCTGCCTCGGCCTCCCAAAGTGCTGGGATTACAGGCATGAACCACTGCGCCCAACCCTGATTTTGTTTTTTAACATGTGTGCTTTTCATTAGATTTTTCTACAAAGGGAATGATGGGATTTTTAATTGTTTATACATGTTATAATCTCCTACCTAGGATATATTTGTTATTTTCTAACACTTGCTCTGCAGGTCTTCAAATCTCTACCCCCCATATGCCTCTTCAACTTATTCAGGTAGAGAGTTCCAAATGCAGAAATTACATTGTATGCCTTTATTAAAACAGGCATCTCCTTTGGCTTTATAAAAGCAGTGTCATGGCTTTTAATTTTTATATTTCATGAAATGTAAAATCTGCTTTTAATGTTGTTTTATTTTCAAAAGTTGTTATTGGAATTATAGTGTTTAGTGATGGGGAGATTTGCTGTCAGAAAGACCTCTGTTCATATCCTTATTCTACCACCTATTTTCTGTGCGATTAGAGAAAGTTCCTTGTTGCTTGGCTCTTTTAAGCTTCAGTTTATCCTTCTGCAACCAGGAGATAATGACACTTATCTCACAGGGTTGTTTGAGAGCCTCATAGAAATGATTAAATAAGATATTATCCATAAAAGGATTTGCATAGTGCCTGAAACATAGTAAGCTCTCAATATATGGGAGATGATAATGATTATTTATATTAATATTAGTCTATATCAAGAGGAAAGAAATAACAAACAAATAGTTGCTATTTTTCAATAGTTTGATTTTAAAAAGTCAAGAAGTGGACAAGTGGAGATTATTTACTTCCTGTCTTCAACTTTGAACAAAGTCTTACAAACATCTAGATTTTATTTCACTTCAATTTTTGTGGTTTGTTCTTATGCTAGATATTGCAAATATTAGAATAAATAAGACAATAGATTTGACTAATTTACAGTTAAGGCATCAGGATTTAATATAACTACTTAATCAAATTGCACCAATTACTACTAGAATGCAAACTTACAACACCTTAACATCTATGGTAATGTGACATGTTATACATAACTACAATATAATAAATGGCATTCATGCTATCTACTTCTCATTGCATGCCCATCCTAAGATCTAACACCATGCTAGCACCATCCTAAGCGCTAACCTTATTTAATCATTCCATCAATACTATAAAACAGGTATTATCAGTGCCACTTTAAACATCCACATATATAGCATTTTATTCTTGTCCCAGGTAATAATAGGCTGTAACTAAGTATTTTTCTCCCTGTGTATTTTCCAGGTTCACAGTGGAACAGGAAATTGATTTAAAAGATGTTTTGAAGGCTCTTGGAATAACTGAAATTTTTATCAAAGATGCAAATTTGACAGGCCTGACTGGTAAGAAATAAACACAAATTTTTTTAAATGTTATTCCATAAGAGGTTTTTTAAAATAATGATGATGTTAAATCCTCTATTTAGTATGGTGTTCTGAGGTAAAATGTAGTTACCACTTGCTAAATAAATCTAGCATGAAATATATTTAACCTCTACAGGCAAAACTATAAATATAGTCATAATATTAAGTTTGTATTATCTGGTTCATGTCTTATCTTTGATAACAGATTATATACTCTGGGAGATCTGTCTTATACAACTTTGGATTCCCCATCCCATCTGACATAATGCCTTGTAGAGTAGATAATCAATAAATGTTTTGATTGACTATCTCAATACCTCCCATTGTAGTAAATCATGTAAGAAAGAAAGAAGAGAAGAGAAATGAGTGCCTGCTGTGGAGCTAGACCAAAGGTCCTTTTAAAAAATAAAGAATACCCTGTGAGATGGTATAAACATGTTCTAATCCTTTGATTAACAACAACAACAAAAAAAAAAAAAACAGTGGGCTGGCATGGTGGCTCATGCCTGTAATCCCAATCCCAGCACTTTAAGAGGCTTAAGTGAGTGGATCACCTGAGGTCAGGAGTTTAAGGCCAGCCTGGTCAACATGGTGAAACTCCGTCTCTACTAAAAATACAAAAAAATTAGCTGTGCATGGTGGCGGGTGCCTGTTATCCCAGCAAATCAGGATGCTGAGGCAGAAGAATCGCTTGAACCCAGGAGGCAGAGGTTGCAGTGATCCGAGATTGAGCCATTGCACTCCAACCTGGGTTAACAACAGTGAAACTCTGTCTCAAATATAAAAATAAAAAATAAATAAACAGTGTTTTAAAGAAGTACCTTCAAAGTATACCTGGCACATTGGAGTCTCTAGTAATTTATTTTAAATATTGCAAGAAAAAAATCCAGTTGAATTATTTGATTCAAATACCCTAATTTTTTCATAATAAAAAAACACAAAATATTAATAAAGCATCTATAATTTGTAAAATACTTTTAGAAGTATTTTTAAGTAGTTAACCCCATGAAATTTGCCCTCAGAAAAAGGCAAAAATGAGCTTAAGGCTGAGTAAATAAGTTATATAATGATGATTTTTATCATTTTCTTAGAAGAGAGAAAATAAAATACAATCTGTTTTCTGATGAGATAGATATATATTAAGATAAAAGAAACTCAATATGTAAGGCCTTTTTATATGCAAATTATTTAATTCAAATTTCCAAATAGCACTGAGAATGATAGAAGATTCCTTAGCTGTTCATCTGTTAAAGGAGAGAATTTAGTTTTCTTATCCTGAAGCAGCAGCCTATAGAAAATCAAGCTGACCGAACCATAGCTTCTACACATGGAGTGTGAGGGTCCATAGATTGAATTCAGGGAAGCCGATGCCCTCCAACCCTTCAAACTGCATATAAATATGTACACACAATGTATGTGCACATACACATGTAGGTGTGGGAGAGAGAAAGTTAGTGTGTTTGTTGGGGTGGGGTGGTCATACTAATAGCTTTTAAGAAATTCTCAAGGAGTCTGTGATCAAAAAAGCCTTTTCCTCCCAGATTTAGGATTGAGCATGTTGTTTTCTAAACAGCGCTCAGCTTCTAGCAATGAGTTGATACTAATATATTTGGTACAACTTCTAGCCCTTGTTCAGAGAGCTTACAGCCCTAAACACTAATAGAGCTTTTCTAAATGTCTACCATATAAATGTTCCTGTCCACATAAGAGAAATGAGTTTTCCCTGAGTAAAGGTTTTCATGGCTTGTATCCAAGCTCCTAGGGCTCTGCACTCTTCAATGGGGTTATCAAGAATGTAAGACTGGTAGAGATTCAAAAAATAATGTGGTATCTGCACCTGAGTCAGAAACATATTCATGGCTGAAGCTTTGCATAGTTTAACATTGTGATTCTCTCTTCTTTGGGAACTGCGAGAATCTGCCTCACTATACTGGCCAAATTCCAACTGGATAATTACATTCTGCTTTCTTAAGGTGGCTCTATTTTCAGTTTGATTAATGATTCCTCACTGTCTCACCCAAACATCTAAGCAGTTATTTCAAACAAATAGAATATCTGCTGCCTCTCAGTCCTGAGGGAGTAGCAGTGCAGTGACAAATCAATCATTGTGATCAGTGTAGCTTATAATTTCTAACATATTTGGAAGGTTTATAAGGTAATATTTAATTGCCTTTACTATACACAGAGACAATAGACCATAAATATGCCTTATGAATACAGATAGTTTGAAGATTTGAAATAACAGTAGAATCTTCCAGAGAATTAATACATTCTATATGCTAAGTATCTGTTTGTTTGATCAAAACCTCCATGAGAATCGAATCCTTCTCTCTGTCCTACCCACAGTTGCATTCCTGGTACCTTGTAAAGAACTAACATATAGTTGGCACACAGTAAATGTTCACTGAAGGGTAAAAAGGATGAGGGGAAGAAGACAAGAGGTTTCTTTGGACCCACATTACATACGGTCTAAGGACCACTTGTTCCCTTAAACATATATAAGAAATCCAGGATTTGCCATTCTCAAATACCGCCCCATCTAGGTTTTCAGGATCACTTGATGAAAGATCTAAAGCAAACTTCCCAGTCTTTCAGTGGGAATTTTTTGATTATTACATTATTAGTTACGCTGGAGTCTTGGCAACTCCTGCTTGCTATCCACCCTAACCAATATATCCTTACATTCCCCATGACATGCACACACCTATTAAGTTATGAATTATTCATTCAAAAACTATTGTTACAATTATAAAACTTGCCTCCTTATTTCCTCTAAATTCAATAGCATTTATCTCTTCATCATTTATTTGAGCACCATATGCTCTGCTTTGTAAAGTTGGTATCAATTTCTTTTTATTCTTTTTATTTTTTAAAATTTATTTAACTTTAAGTGCATACTATATCTGGCATTTCTCCCCATGTTATCCCTCCCCACCCTCCCCTCCCTCCCCACCCACCACTGTCTCTCCTCTTCCCCCCACAACTGCCTGCAATGTGTGATGCTCCTCTCCCTGAGTCCACCTTTTCTCATTGTTCAACACCCACCTATGAGTGAGAACATGCAGTGTTTGGCTTTCTGTTCTTGTGTCAGTTTGCTGAGAATGATGGTTTCCAGATTCATCCAAGTCCCCGCAAAGGACATGAACTCATCGTTTTTTATGGCTGCATAGTATTCCATGGTGTATATGTACCACATTTTCTTTGTCCAGTCTATCATTGATGGGCATTTGGGTTGGTTCCAGGTTTTTGCTATTGTACACAGGGCTGCAATGAACATACGTGTGCATGTGTCTTCATAGTAGAACAATTTATAGTTCTTTGGGTATATGTCCAATAATGGGAATGCTGGGTCAAATGGAATTTCTATTTCTAGGTCCTTGAGGAATCACCACACTGTCTTCCACAATGGTTGAACTAATTTACACTCCCACCAACAGTGTAAAAGTGTTCCTATTTCTCCACATCCTCTCTAGCATCTGTTGTCTCCCGATTTTTTAATGATCACCATTCTAACTGGCATGAGATGATATCTCAATGTGGTTTTGATTTGCATTTCTCTAATGACCAGTGATGATGAGCATTTTTTCATATTTTTTTTGCCTCATACATGTTTTCTATCATATGTCTAGATTTTTTCCTCTCCAAATAATATGATAACCTTGATAATTATGTCTGTGACTCTTAGTATCCTCCATGTATACCCAGGAAAAACATTCGCATGCATTTGGTTTCTACTTTCATGAGAATCTCATGGTGTTTAGGATATATGAAGGCTTACCTCAATATATTGTGGGTTTGGCTTCAAACCACTGCACTAAAGTGAATATTGCAGTAAAGTGAGTCACATGAATTTTTTGTTTCACAGTGCATATAAAAGTTACGTTTACACTATGCTGTAGCCTTTTAAAGGTACAAAGATATTATGTCTGAAAAAGTAAGGCATGTATCTTACTTAATGTAAAAATACTTTATTGATGAAAAATGCTAATGATCATCTGAGCCTTCAATGAATCATAAGGTTTTTGTTGGTGGAGAATCTTGCCTTGATATTGATGGTTTCTAATAGATGAGGGTGGTGTTTGCTGAAGGATGGAGTGGCTGTAGCAATTTCTTAAAGAAACCATAACAATGAAGTTTGCTGCATCCTGTACTCTTCTTTTCATTAAAGATTTCTTGTATTGTGCAATGCTGTTTGATAGCATTTTACCCACAGTACAACTTCTTTCAAAATTGGAATCAGTCTTCCCAAACCCTTCAACTGCTTTATCAACTAAATTTCTGAAATAGTTTAAGTCCTTTGTTGTCATTTCAACAATGTTCAGACATCTTCACTAGGGCTAGATCTCATCTCAAGAAACCACTTTATTCATCCATAAGAAGCAACTCCCCGTTCATTTAAATTTGACGATGAGATAGCAGCAATCCAGTCACATCTTCAGGGTTCACTTCTAATTCAAGTTCTCTTGCTGTTTCTACCACATCCACAGTTACCTCTTTCATTGAAATTTTGAACCTGTCAGTCATAGAAGTCAGAATCAACTTCTTCCAGACTCCTGATAATGTTGATATTTTGATCTCCTTCCATGAAACATCAGTGTTTTTAATGGCATCTAGAATGCTGAATTCTTTCCAGATTTTTCTTTGCCCAGATTTCAGATCTGGGCAAAGAAAGTAGGTTGTCTAAACTGTGGAATGCTACTGATGTCTGATGAGCAGAGGCCAGGGATTCTTCCTAACCTCTGCAATGCCCAGGAGAGCTCCTCCACAACAAAGGATTATCCAGCCCAAAATGTCAATAGTGAAAAGGCTGAGAAATCCTATACTGGAGAAAACATGTGGAAGCAGAGAAAAAAAAAATTAAAAGGCAGAATGGGAACATATTGGGTCAAAAGACAGAGGAGTCAAGCATATGAAATGGCTAAAAAAAAAAAAAAGGAAAGAAATAGAAGGGAAATGTAAAGGTAGGGAACAATATATGT